GCCCCAAACAGGCATAATCACTCGAAGCCAAGAGTCCTTAGCCCCTTTCCCTCCCCTTGCCAATCAAGTACCATTTCGTTAAAGAATCCGTCCTATCACTCCAAACCTCGCTCTTGATCCCTCATTACAGACGAACCCGTACAAGGTGGCAACCTTCCTTCCTGTATTACGACCTTTGAGACATCGACCCTATCCGCCCCTCGACTTTGAAACCTAGCCCTTGCACTCCTTACACCCCTTTAAACCCAGACCAAGAAAACATAGATATATATATGTATGTATATCTACCTCTAGAACTCGTGCTTAAGGATCAATGAACATTGTACGATGGGTCATCCTATGTATCCAAGTCCCTTTTATTGTGCACAAGGGCATGGGACTTGTCAGGACATGAATCTGTGCATTTTTGGGGTCTTTCCCGAAGGAATTGACTATTCCTAGTCACTTTTCCCGCGGGTCCCCAACGGGACCTTGGCGGGTCCTTGGCAGGAGCTTGGCAGGCGGACGACCGCCCACCTCGCGCCCACTGGTACAATGTGCTGATTTCTTAAACCCCTCATTTTATTGATTTGTGGCGCACTTGTGTGCCTCGATTGAGGAATGTGAGTCTTGGTAAGGAACCATGGACCACCCAAAACATAGTGTCCTACGTAAAAGACCTTGACGCACGAGACACCATCGGGAAATCACAATCAATTACATTGCACGAGTAATTGAAATCGGGATCCTACGATACAACCGACTAGGGATGTTTGGCGTAAAGGATTGCGCAAACCAAGGAGGCGAGTTGGGAACTCGTACTAAGAACCCACGAAAACCTTAAAAGTCAAAATGCTAAGGAAGGGACCGGGACTCCCCCCAAACCATGGACATCGTTCGAGCAAATCAGAGGACTCCTTACAAGTTGTATGGAATCAAGAACTACGTAGGCCATGGTGCTAAGCAAAAGGGTGAAGAACACATTCGCCGCCAAGACTTCAAGGGTCATTAAGGACCTACAAGGAGATAAGGTGACTCGTAAAGTCGCCGAGTCGTCCCACAACGAGATTTGGTAACCGACTGCGCTTTAAAAGAAAAAGGGCACGCAAGGACACCTTCATCATTAAAAATAACACAAACAGGGCACAACAATGCCGAACCTCGGGTAAGACATGAAGTCTTACTAAGAATTTCATCCACTAAAGAGGAGATGAAATTCAATAAGAAGAGAAATTCAACCCAAAGTCCATCGACTCCCAAGAGACTTTGGGAAGAATTTGGGAAATGCGCCCTAAGAGATTGGCTTGGTTGACCCAACTCGGTCAAGACCTTGGGCGCATTAAAGAAGTAAGTGTTGAATCACCACGGGAAATTCCCTCAAGAAAGAAGAGAAGGATGAAACCTTAGCCTGGGAAGCAAGGTCTAACAAGGATCTTAAAGTCAAGCAAGCACCAACACCAAGGAAGGAGGATCATCAGCTCGTCGGCGCATCGTGATCAAAGCATCTAACCAGATTATTCACTTGGGATCGAGAAACCTTAACCCGTCCTAGCCGAATTCCTTTCCCTCCCTCGGAAAATCGGCCCCTTCCTTATTTCAAAACCCTTTCTACCCTTCAGACCCCATTCTCAATCCCATGTTTTAACGATTCCATACAAGTGGCAACCTCAAAACCTAAGTTGCAACCTCGAAAACTTGATCCTAATTCCTGAATTCACCGTGTCCTCAAGTTTGAAACCCACTCTCTTAGCCCTGTAAAACCTAATCGTTCCCAAAAAAAACCCAACACACATAGGCGTGCAAGTATACAATTTCCGCATGGAATACCTCCTTCTCTATAGGACCACGGTTCTTCTCTTGACTCGTTAACCCTGCAATGATTTCCAAGCTTCGGGGACGAAGCTTCACGTAAGGGGGGGAGAGTGTAACACCCCGTGTTACGGCCTTCAATCCCGGATTAATTATTAAATTAATCCCGTTAATAATAATTAAATATGATTTAATTCGGTTAGGTTTCCTTTAATTAATTAATAAAGGTCCACCATGAACCGTGGACCCTTGCCTAAATTAGAGTCCTAAGCCTATTAGGAATAAAGAAAGTAAACCCTTTACTATTCAGATTCTAATTAGGAATCCTAGACCTAGTTATCTATTAGGAATAAAGGAAGTAGGCCTTTTACTATTCAGACTACGATTAGGATTCCCTTTAATTAATTAATATGGTCCACTATGGACCATGGACCCTTATCCCTAATCCCAATCCCTAGTTCCAAAAGGAATAGAATTAGCAAGCCTATAATATTAGTTCCTAACCAGGACTCCTAAATATATAAATAGGGGACTTAAGAGGCACCTAGAACCCCCCACCACAATAAACGTTCCACCACCCCAAAGTGCTCCAAGAATCCCCTTAGAAGAAATCAAGAAAGCAAGAAAGCTTAAAGAAAGACCCTTCATAGCCAAGGAATTAATTAAGGCTAAGAGGTAACCCATGTCTCAACAAAACCTATTTTCATAGCTATGATTCCCCCTTAGGGTTTCCCCCATATTATTGTGTATTGTCGAGATATGATGATGATTATTGATGTTTGACGTGATGATCCCATGAGGGATCTTGATAGTCTTGATATTGGGAGATTCTTGATGTTTATATGGAGTTCTTGATGATTATGTGTTGTTCTTGATAATTGTGTGATGCTCTTGATGTTTATGTGTTATTCTTACCGAATCTTGCAATTAGAAGACAAACCATATTCTTGTTGATATAAAAATGATTAGAACCCTAGGATGTATCGTATGATCTTATTCTTGGATTATCGGGTGGGGAAATCGCATGTTTGGGTGTTGATTATATTTAGAAAAGCATGATAGGTTATGTGCCGTTCGTTTCTTGTATTTGATTCGTTAATTGTCTACGTGTTGTCGTTAATTGCGTTGTAAAGTGTCTAAGCATGGTTTCGGGTTCCACAAAGGTTCCCGGGGCGTAAAGTGTGTGAAAAGAGTCAGTGGGGGTAGGTGGGGGGTAGGGGACCCGCCACCTACCCACGGCCGTGAAACACCGCCCGGCAGCGGGTAGCCGGCGGGCGGGCAGCTGCCCGCCGGCGACCCGCTGCCCGGAACAGTAATTCCGGCGGGCAGCCGGCGGGTGGCCCCCCACCCACCGGCTACCCGCTGGAAATTTCCCCAATTCGGGATCCCGGCTTCCCCGTTTGATGTTCCCCCGATCCCCGTGGTGTCTCAACGGACTCCGTTCATCGTGCCTATGTCTAGTTTGATATTTCGGGTGCCGTTCGTAGGTTTACGAGTCTATTATATTGCATGCTAGTTGAATTGGTATCCCGTTGACCTAGGTGGTAGAAGTATGAACCCCTTAGGACTATTCCTAGTATGTGATGGGTCACGCATAGGTTTTGTTATACATTTTCTCCCCCTTCCCAATGTGTAATGTGGGTTGCATGTGCTTGCTATGTGTTATGTGTGTGTGTTACCCCAATTCGGTTGCGATCGGATTGGTTATCCTGAGCTGCGGTTCAGAAGCTGGCTGCGGTCAGATTGATACTCTTGGGCTGCGGTCCACCGTTTGGTTGAGATCAAACGTTTCTATACGAGCTGCGGTTCGTCCTTTTTCCTGGCTGCGGTTAGATGACATTCTCTTGGGCTGCGGTCCACTGTTTGGTTGCGATCAAACACTATGATGAGCTGCGGTTCATCGGTCGGTTGCGATCGACCCCTCCGTGTTGCGATACGGGGCAGGGTGCTGCGGGGCTGTGTCAGAGCTATATGCGCTGACCCTCATGTATGGGCATGCGATTGGTCCTGTGGCGCCAACAAAGTGTGTTATGTGCTGTGACATGGACGTGTTGTGATTACGAGTGTCTTGGGGGATGTGACTATGGGATTTATATTGGGGATTGTTCATGTTGGGTTATGATCGTTGTTTATGCTTTGCCTTATCCGCCTTATCTATTGTGAACTGCATATGCTTGTTATAACTGTTGCTTGTGTCTGGTCTTATCTGTCGAGTCATTCCCGGTTTTAAAGCTAGAGTTCGTAGGATATATCTTCATGTTCAAAATGGTTTTCGTATATCTATATATATCTCTATATGTATTGTATTTCAACGCGTTGGAGTGGGTTACCAGCATCTCTCGCTGAACAGATATATTTGGCTTTCAGGCACAGAAGATTAAGTCACTGGAGTGCGCTAGAACTTAGAAGTAGATAGTTTCCCTTTTGGCCTGCGTGCCACGTTTACGTATTTACGCTTTGAGGATATTAGTTAGTTAGCCTGTGCACTTGGGTTCTCTAGCCCAGGTGTGGCATAGCACCCCAAACGCTTGTATTTATATCTTGGGATTTAATAAGATTCTACATTTCTTATAAGTTTTAAATGTCTTGAAAATCTGGGGTGTTACAACCGAAGCCATGGCCGGAGTCCGAGCAACACCCTGTCGAGATAAAACGTTGATGGCAAGCTTTCAGCCCTCCAGATTCACAGTGACTCCCAACGCCACAAATGTATCATTTCTTCCCCGGTGACGACAACGTGACGTCGTCGTTGCCGGAACTCATGGGGGTGCTGTTTTCCGGCGCCTTGCACTGCTGGAACCCAGCTCCGTCCAATTTATAAACATTGTGTGCTCCCCGGCGATACTTGAAAACTACAACAAAAACAGTTCTTTTAGCTTAATTTGTTGGAGGATAAAAATGTCATTCATCTTTTATATATATATATAAGCCAGCGTGTAAAGCAATAATAGTTGACGGGAATAATACTTTTTCCTCCTCTGCTTTTCGATCCTTCTTCTTCATCTTCTCTGCACCTCTTCTTCTCCTATCTCTCATCACTCGTGTAGCAGAATCCAACATGGTATCAAAGCGGCGAGGCAGCCACGCCGCCGCTACTATCGACGCCGGAGAACCGAATCAAAGAGAGGTTCATCCGAAGCCAGTAGTTCGCGCATCTCCGATCAATCCGCAGAGGATTCCGATCAATCCACAGAGGTCCGATTAATCCGCAGAGGATTATTGCTACGGAGAGTAGCAACAAAGCCGACGCCACCACTGTCACAGTCGCCGGAAAATCGAGTCAAAGAACAGCTCATTCGGCGATGTCGATTGTTAAATCCATAGTTCGCGCATCGCGAATCAATCCGATTGCTACGCAGAGTAGTCGATCATCAGCAACGATTCCACAGAAGAATCCACAAGATAAGGAGACTCGAATCTCCCCGGCGATCTCCACAGTCGTTCCGCAGCGGAAGGAAGGAATTGATCTGCCGAATGAGATTCTCAATTTGAAGAAGACGGAGCAGTTCTTCGATTCTCAATCTGAAGAAGACGGAGCAGTTCTCCGATTCAGCCAAAGCGGTTGCGTCTCTCGATCGAAAATTCGTTCAGAGAGACATTTGTAAGGCCGGCAGTTCTCTGTCCCGCGGTTGCCTTCGAGCCAATGCCGCCGTCGGTGAGGAGACGGCGCCGGGAGTGGAGCCGCAGGAGATGAGGCGGGAAGTTGCTCTTGCATAACTAAACAAAGTGAAGAAGATGTAGAGTTTGAATTTTTTTTTGGATGAGCTTACATCGAAGATAAGTACATTGAATCTGGAGCGTGTTCGTCGATTGAAAAGCAGACTTGTAGCCTTGACTCGTCGTGTTCAGAAGGTTAGGGATGAGATAGAGCAACTTATGGACGATGATGGGGACATGGCTGAAATGTATTTTACTGAGAAGAAAATGCAGATGGAATCATCATCAATTTATGGTGATCAATCTGTGGTTGGATACAAGTCAACTGATGGTGTGCTGTCTGTTTCTGCTCCAGTTTCTCCTGTTTCGTCTCCTCCTTATAGCAGCAGGAAGCTCGAAAAAGGTTTGAGCATAGCCGGAAGCAGGCATGAGAGCATGAGAAGTTCAGAAAGTGCTGCAGAAGCTCAAAGTATAGAGGAGCTCGAAATGCTCTTGGAGGCTTACTTTGTCGTCATTGATAGCACCCTCAACAACTTAAGGAGTATATCGATGACACAGAAGATTTCATCAACATTCAGCTGGACAATGTCCGGAACTAGCTTATAAAGTTCGAGTTGATACTCACAACTGCGACGTTTGTAGTTGCAATCTTTGGCTTGAGTTGTCCTTTGCAAAATTTGCTGAGCTGATAGAAGTATATGATGTAACAGCCCTTGATTTGGAAATGCCCCATGGAAAATGCTGCCACATGAAGGATCTGAAGGGGACTTGAGCTGACTATCAGAGTTGGCTCTACATGCTGAATAATTTGCCCCATGCTTGAACCAGAAAAACAGAAAATAGAAGCAGATGAACAGAAACTGCAAGCTTGAAAGTTGAAAGTTCTAAAATTTGTTTAGATGATTGATGAGATTAGATGATGTGAATGATTTGCAAGTGGCATGGGTTCTTCATTAATGTAGCAGATTGTTTAGATGAGAATGAGAATATTGTTTCTCCTTTTTTTTTTCGCTCTTTTGTATCTAAGCTGGGCATATAGGATCTACATGCTCCAGCTTACGGGGGGTGTTGGAGGATAAAAATGTCCTTCATCTTTTATATATATATATATATATATATATATATATATATATATATATATATATATATATAAGCCAGCGTGTAAAGCAATAATAGTTGACGGGAATAATACTTTTTCCTTCTCTGCTTTTCGATCCTTCTTCTTCATCTTCTCTGCACCTCTTCTCCTCCTATCTCTCATCACTCATGTAGCAGAATCCAACAGTAATTAGAGAATAGATTAGATATTCAACCTGATAAGCAACAACAAGATTCCAAAAGATTCCAAGTTCAACTCTCGTGGTCTATTAACTTTTTTAGTTTAAGACGGTCAACAATCTAGGTTTGTTAAATTTTTTGTCAATTAGATTACAAGACAGGAATTTATCTAATACACACCCTGAAACACAATGATAGTGAGTTTATTTGGTAAATGAACTTATGAACCACAAAGTTTTAAGTTCGATTCCTATGTGAGCAGCTGTTCACCTTTTTAGTTTGAGACTGTAAACAATCTAGACTAGTTTAACTCATTGTCAATTAGATCACAAGACGAGATTTACCTAATGAATACCCTCGAACACAAAAAGACTAGTTTAATGATTAAATCATAAAGATGGAATTTACCTAATACACACCCTGGAACATAATGATGGGTTTATTTGGTAAATAATGAACCACAAGGTTTTAAGTTCGATTCTTATGGGAGCAGCTATTCACTTTTTTAGTTTGAGACGGTCGACAATCTAGACTAGTTTAACTCCTTGTCAATTAGATCACAATATGAGATTTATCTAACGCACACCCACAAACACAAAACTGCTAGTTAAAGGATTAAATCATAAAGACGGGATTTATCCGGTGCACAGTGAGTGTAAAAATTAAAAATGGAAAACTTGTCCATAATAAGGATAACACAAAGAAGCAAGAAACATACTGAGTTTGTCTCCAACGTGGAACTCTTTGCTTCCTGCCCAAGCTCGTAATCGAAGTTGTTATTCTTCCAGCCATTCTCATCTCCAACACAAACTCTGTTGCCAAAACTGGAGGAGCAACAACTACTGCAGCAACAGCGAATGCAAGCAACACAACTCTTGAACCCATTGAGTCCATCATATACACTTAACTTAATTAGTTGAATAGTTGATGATGATGGTATATATGGGTTTCTCAATGTATTTGTGATATACAATTCTTGATTTACAGGCATATTAATAGGCGGCGGTGTTTAGGTTGGAGGCCGGGCTGCCGGCTAGCGGCGGCAGCGCCATCCCCAGGTGGTCACTTCCTTGAATTGTTCTTAATTACTCAAAAATAGAAATTAGTTTGTTATGTAAAGAAATTTGGAATTACATGCAAAGCTGGTTGAGTTGTGCCTGACAAGGTCAAGACGTTGAAAACAAAATACAAATTTCTTTATTGTAATAGCTTGCAAATTGCATTAAAAAAAACTTTGTTTTAGGCACGCTGCCCGCTCTCGCCGCAGTAACAAAAGTAGCAACTCGAGTAATTCACCCAACCGCTGACGGGTTCAGGGTTGGGACTCGTGCCCAGCCCTCATAACTAATTCTTTTTTTGAAGTGCAATAAGTTCAACTAATGTATTACTATCTAGCTATGAGAATCATACTATATTAATTTAATCACTTATTTCGTAGTGAGCAATTTATTATTTGATAATATATAAAAAAAATATGTATTTTCAAATAATGTACTTTATATATACAAATAATGTACTTTTAGCATATTAAAATATACTTTTTATTTATGATTCACACAAATGTGTGGACCATGGTTTATGAATAATGATTGCTCTGGACCATAATGGGTTTCAACATAGGGATGTTATAAAAATTGAAAAGATCGAAAATACTACATATACTACCAAATTTATTAATTTTCACTTTATAGTTTCAAATTTATAATGTAGACAACTTTTTCTGGACCTACAAAATGAAAATATCATATTTATATTTGCCACGTCAGAGAGTAGATCAGAATTTGGGAGTACATACACTAAAACTCAATAATAATAATAATAATAATAATAATAATAATAATAATAATAATAATAATAATTGATATGATCAAGTGATCTAAACTCTTAACGGAACAGTAGAATTTCAAATACAAGCACACACAATTTATTTTGTAAATTTCAGTCTGCAAGAAACATTAAAAGAAAAATAAAAATAAAAATCAACGAAATATAATTGTGAAGCATATATATATATATATGCCACTCAGAACATGTCCATCATTTATTTTAGTAGCCGCCCTGGTTTGGTGCAGGAACTGGTACCGGAAACGGAAAGGGAGGGAATGGCAAAGGGAAATACGGAATAGCCGGAGCCGGAGCCGGAGATGGAGGGAACGGAATTGGCAAAGGCCAATTTGGAGTATCCGGAGCCGGCGCCGGAGATGGAGGTAACACAATTGGCAAAGGCCAATATGGAGTAGCCGGAACCGGAGCGGGTATGGGAGGAAATATGATTGGCCAAGGGGGAGAAACCGGAGCCGGAAGCATTTTTCTGGGCCAAGTAGCTGGAGATGGAGATGGAGCTTGGGGTTTAGCCGAAACAGTAATCACGAGCTTCTGTCCCAGTTTACAGTACTGCCCGGTGCCGGAAATGTACCATTTCCGGCCCGGCGTGCCCAATTCAATCACATCGTTTCCGGTGGTTAAGGGTGTAGACTGAGCTGGTGGTATACACTGTTTGAACCCGCTCCCGCCCACCTTGTACACACTGTTTGTACCTGCCTGGTACTTGAAAACTACACCAAATAATATGCATGTAATTAATATCACCACTCAGAAACAATAACTAATTAACCATTTGGATACCACTTAATACCTAATTTAGTCTTTGAATTTTCTAGATTTAGATTTGTGGGGGTGTATTCAATCATGACTTTCATAGAGTTTTAAAGACTTTTATGAACTTTAGTTTGGAGGTATTCAATTGAGTAAAAAATAATCAAAAGTTGAAGACCTAACAAAAACTACTAAAATTGAGTATTAATATATGTGAAATTACCAAATTATCTTAACATAAGACTCAATTCAGTAAAAAATAATCAAAAGTTGAAGACCTAAGCACAAGACGTTTAGAAGTAAATTCAGAAAAATATAGTGGATATTAAGTCATTGAGATACATATATAATACACATACTCAGTCTATCTCCGACGACAAACTGCTTCCCCTGAGCCCAAGCTTGATAATCGACGTTGGTAGTCCAACCATACTCATCGCCGACGATGTAATCTGTGGCGGTAACATAAACTGCGAGAATGGCGACGGTCAAGAAGAAGAAGATGGTGGAGGCCATTTTCTTCCTAGCTAATTCTGGGATTTGGGTTGGTGATGATTCCTAATCGATGAAGATCCCCTTTTATAGACTTGTTTCCAGTCATGATACTTTGGGATTGTCAGGTTGTTTGTCATTGGAAATGTCATGAAGTTGCAACGTCGAAAGTACCCAGCATTCATCAATGTTTTTTTCTGGAACTGTCGTATTCTTAAAGGTTTACCATTTACGCACACGACATTGCAATTTCGAGCAGACGGACGGTGTTTCCAATTTCGTATGATTTTGCTTAATTTCTGTCAATCCAATTCTTATACCATGCTTTCTGTCCATCCAATTCTTATACCATTGACCAGAGTTCATATTGCATATGCATTCTGAACTTTGATCCAAAAATTATGTATCTGCACTTAACACATTTTGTATATATATACATTTAACAATTTTTGTATTTGTAAACAAATTCAAAGCCGGTCATGTAACATAATAACTACTGAGTACGAACACATCAATTGTTAATTGCAAGTACATAATATGTTAACTGCACACACATAATATGTTGGTTAACATGTTATCAGTATTGTGAAAATCGGCCCCACCCCTAGGCCTAGGCGATTTCAGGCGGATTTTAATTGGCTGGCCGACTAGGCGCTCTAGGCGTCGAGTTGGCCACCTAACTCCGCCTAGTTGACGCCCAACTAGGCTGAGTCGGCGCCCAAATCGACCGAGTGGTATTTTTTGCCAGTTGCTCATCTTCTATATTCCCCCAGTCATGTACTCAACTAACTATCTAATTAACATATGTATTTGACTAGTTTATGGGATTATAATAGTCTAACAACTCACAGTCTTGAGTGAAAAAAGTGAAGACAATATACTCGATTTACTCGACCGCCTAGGAGACGCCCAACAAGCGCCTAGCGTCTTCTGCAACATTGCATGTTATGTGTTTACAGTTAACATACATATTTTGTAATTGCAATTAACAGTTTATGTGTATGTAGTTATCATGTTATGCGTCTGTAATTACTATATGATTTGTCTTCAATTTGTTTATAAGTACAGAAACGATTAACTGTATGTACGAAATGTGTCATCTACGGATACAAAATTTAAAGTTATTTTTAGATCAAGATCCACAATGCAGGGTAGACCCTGGTTCAAGGTATAATTTGTCACGTCGATCTGCCCGATGAGAACTGATTGTATTATATTTTCTGAACTTAATTACAATGAGATCAGATGATGTGAATATATAGAATAGAGAGTCACAGTGTGACAATGATAAGAAGTAGAGAGTCACAGTGTGACAAGGATAAGAAGTTCTAAACAGACTCATATACATAGAGTCCTAATACTCCCCCTCAAGCACAGTGTATACTAGTAACCTGTAGCTTGTCCCTTAAGGAAGAAAATCTAGGTCCAGGCAGAGCTTTGGTGAAGATATCAGCAAGTTGATCCTTTGTGGAGATGAAGTTGACTTGGATATCGCCCGAAGCTACTCGATCACGAACAAAATGATAATCAATCTCCACATGCTTGGTGCGCGCATGAAAGATTGGATTGGCACTCATATATGTAGCTCCTAGATTATCACACCATAATTTTGGAATGGAAATACCCGGAATCTGTATCTCACGCAATAATGACATAATCCATAGAACCTCAGCACAAACATCTGCAAGAGCTTTGTATTCAGCCTCAGTGGATGACCTGGCAACAGTTCTCTGTTTCTTGCAAACCCATGATATAAGATTGCTCCCCAAGAAAACAGCAAAACCACTCGTGGATTTTCGATCGTTAGGACAACCAGCCCAATCAGAATCAGAGAAAGCATGAATGTCTCTAGATGAGCACCGTCGTATGTGTAAACCATGATCAACTGTTCCCTTAACATACCTGAGTACCCGTTTGAGCTGCTCCCAGTGTGATATGGTGGGGGCATGCATATGCTGGCATAACTGATTAACTGCAAAGGATAGGTCAGGTCGTGTGACAGTGAGATATTGCAGTGCTCCAGCTAGACTCCTGTACTGTGTGGGATCTTCATATAGATCTGAATTGAAGGGGACAGTTTTCGAGACAGAGATAGGTGTAGAAAGGGGTTTGCATTCAGACATTCCAGCCCGTTTTAAAATATCATTCATATACCGTTGTTGAGATAAAATAATCCCATTGTCACTCTTAACTGTTTCAATACCCAGAAAAAAATTTGGTTCACCAAGATCTCTGATTTTGAATGTAGCAGACAGTTTGGACAAGAGCTGAGACATAATACCTTGATCACTTCCCATTACAAGAATGTCATCCACGTACACCAATAGATAAACCAAAGCAGGGTCTTTAGAGTAATAGAACAGAGAGATATCTGTCTTGGATGCTTGAAAGCCAACCGATAATAAGAACGTATGTAGTCGATTAAACCAAGCTCTGGGAGCTTGTTTTAACCCATACAGAGATCTTTTTAGCAAACAAACATGATTCGGGAAGTTAGCATCAATATAACCAGGGGGTTGCTTCATATAAACTGTTTCAGCCAGATTACCATTCAGAAAAGCATTATGAACATCTAGCTGTTTGATAGACCACCCAGATGATAAAGCTAGAGATAGAAGGAGTCTTACAGTCGTAGGCTTTACCACTGGACTAAAAGTGTCGAAGAAGTCCTGACCTGGAACCTGATTAAAACCTTTCGCAACCAGCCTGGCTTTATGCCTTTCAATAGCACCATCAGCCTTTCTCTTCGTACGAAACACCCATTTACAGCCAATAATATTCATACCTGCAGTGGGTGGAACTAGAGACCATGTGTGGTTATGCAGGAGAGCATTGAATTCTTGGTCCATGGCTTCACGCCACTCAGGATATTTGACAGCTTGAGAGTAACATGTGGGTTCCGTGGGATGCACTTGAGCTGCTAGAGCAAAAAGAGGAGCATCTGCGTTGCTGCGAGTGGCCATAGAGTGAGTACGGACATTGGGCCTGATGGACCGCCCACGTGGACGGCCTCGCCGGCGAGCAACAGGCTCTACAGGATCAACCGACGAGGCAGCCTATCCAGGATCCACGGCTGGTTCGAATGAAGCAGGTAGCGGCGGTTCTGGCAGCTCATCATTGGACACGGCAGGAATAGGTGTGCTGTGACTGAGAACAGATTCCGCCCAAGGTCCAGAAAACGGAGTAGATAGATCCTGCAAAGAAGTTTTAGTAGCAAAGGGGAAAACTTCTTCATCAAATCTGACATGCCTGCATGTGTAAATCTTATTAGTATGTAAGTCCATGCATCTGTACCCCCTAAAGGACTCAGGATAACCTAGGAAGACACATGGAGAAGACCTGTATGACATCTTATGACGATTATATGGTCGAAGATGAGGGTAGCATAAACACCCAAAGACACGAAGAAAAAGATAGGAAGGAGGGGATTTATGTAACAGGAGATGAGGACTGGAGTTATTTAATACAGAAGATGGCATTCTGTTAATTAAATAGACAGCAGTCTCAAAGGCAAAATCCCAAAATTTTAAAGGAACAGAGGCATGAGCTAGAAGAGCCAGACCAGTTTCAACAATGTGACGATGTTTTCGTTCAACACGACCGTTCTGTTCATGTGTATAGGCACAGGATTGTCTATGTTGAATTCCTAATTGAACAAACAAAGAATGCAACTTTTTGTACTCAACACCTAAATCAGACTGAATGGCCTTTATTTTACAATTAAAGGACCGCTCAACAAGAGTACGAAATTTATCAAAGATAACATAAAGATCAGACTTTAATTTCATAGGAAAGAACCATGTATAACGGGAATAGTCATCCACAAAGATCACAAAATAACGGAAGCCAGAAGTAGATAAAGTGGGCGCAGGACCCCAAATGTCTGTGTAAATAAGATCTAGGACTTGAGAACTAGAGGAAGCAACACAGGGGAGGGGAAAACGGGCAGATTTGCCTAATTGACACGCATTGCATAAAGAATTATGACAACGAATATTATCACGAGACCCACTAACCAAACAAGAACGAAGTATATGGCTAAGAACACGGTTATGAGGATGACCTAGACGATTGTGCCAAGTGGAAGCTGAGGCACGAGCGGAAATAAACGCTGACGGAGACGAACTAGGTAATGAAAGTGTGTATAGTCCCCCCGAACTATTGCCCCGAAGAAGTATTTCCTTGGTATTGATATCTTTTACAACAAAAAAGGAGGGGTGAAACTCAAAAAAGACTTTATTATCGGATGCAAACTTCTGAACAGATAATAAAGAATTAGACAAACGCGGAACGTGAAGTATATCAGACAATGTAAATGATCTAGAAGGGGTATTCAAAGAGGCATGGCCAACATGACTAATAGATAAACCCATACCGTCACCGACACGTAAAGTGTCATTACCAGTGTACTTCTCCGATGTAGAAAGGGCAGCGATGTTCGGAGTTGCATGATTTGTGGCTCCAGTGTCCGGAACCCAAGTATGAGAATTTGACGAGGTTTTAGCAACTAAACCATTCTGAAACACCAAATTAGCCTGAGAACCCGGAGCCCCTGAATATCGCCGAAAACAGTTGAGTCCCGTGTGACCGAAACTTTTGCAAATTTGACACGGATCATTATAGCGCCAAAAACAATTGTCTCCCGTGTGACCAAAACGTTTACAAATTTGACATGGATCATCATAGCGCCAAAAACAATTGGCTCCCGTGTGACCAAAATGTTTACAAATTTGACACAGATCATCATAGCGCCAAAAACAATTGACTCCTGTGTGGCCGAAACCTTTACAGATTTGACACGGATCATCGAAGCCACGTTGCTGACCTCCATGGTAATTAAGGTTGCCATCGCAGCGCTGCATCTTCTTAATTTTATGAATCACAAAACCCTAGCTAACTGATACCAGATGAGAACTGATTGTATTATATTTTCTGAACTTAATTACAATGAGATCAGATGATGTGAATATATAGAATAGAGAGTCACAGTGTGACAATGATAAGAAGTAGAGAGTCACAGTGTGACAAGGATAAGAAGTTCTAA